TCTTTCTTTTCGCTTCATTTCCCGCAACAGCCCCCCCCCCCACCCACACGCGCCACTCTCCGCCCCTCCGTCACGTGCTCTCACCCCTGGGTTCGCGAACGATTTCTACGCATCCAAACCTTCTTCCTCCGTAGGTGTCTTCATACTAAATGGCTCCCGGCATTTATTCCCCTGAGCACGGTAGAGAACCCAGGGGTTCACACAAAACGGGGTTAGTCAGAGAAATGTGCCTCAGGCGGCTTCGGAACTTGGCAACAAGGCCTCGGTTCCGTCGGGATCATGCGAAAGGCCTCGTCCAAGATCGGAACGAAGAGGCCCGGCGATCCACCCGCAGGTGCAGGCTCGCGACCTCTCGCTCCACCAGGTCCAGGCGACCCTCAAGACGAGCGAGCTCGCCCTGATTCCCGGCCTGGGCGGCAGCATTACCGCCAGTCCCAAGGCCAAGTGCAATTTCAAGCACGAGGACACGTTGACGGAGGCGGTCAACCTCAGGGTCCTGTGTCGGACCCGCAGTCGGAGCACTCGGACGAAAGTGGCTCTTAGGAGGCGCCGAGTACTCGTACTCGTACGAGGGCGCCTCCGCCCCTGCTTGACCGGAATGGAGAAGTCCACTTCCACGTGGAGCGGATCCTCCAGGAGCAACGGCTTCGCGGTAAGCGACAGCTCCTCGTGAAGTGGAGGGGTTATACCCACTCCGAGAACTTGTGGGAGCCGATTGAACGGCTCCTGATTGAGTGCCTGAAGGCTTTTGCAATCTGGGAACAGAAGCGGCGGCAGCTTCATAAGTAGTCCGGGGCTTCTTGCCCGAACGGGGTACGGTCGATGAATGCATACCGTACCCGAGCTGATCGTGAGCGCTAGAATCCGCGCGCTTCAGGATGTCCCTTGGCAGCATACGCTTGCTGATCAAGTGGGCAAACCTCACACGAAGATCACGCTGGTCCAGGATGTGGGACAGCTGCTGATCTTCATGGAGTTCCCATAACTCCGTGGGCGAGTACTTGAGAGTCTCCACCCACGCCCAGAACATGTCCTTACAAGAACTCCACGTGGGACAGTTCTCGGGCATAACCCAGGGGTATCCCCAAACAGGATAGAGACCACCCCGGGTCTCGGGCTTCTTACGACAAGTCGTGAAGTCCTTAAGGGGAATGCGGTGTGGCGCGAGAAGCACACACCGAGCAGCCTCCAAGCTGTCGACGAACAACTGTTCTTTCTGAACAAGGGCTCGTTCATAGATGTCCCTAGAAGTGTGGCCGCCCACAAGGCCACGAGGAGCGACGAGAACCTCCAAGAAGAGGTCAGCCCCAGAGCTCTCCTCGGGAGGCCAATACCCTCTTGAGTTGATGGCAGCTCCCTGGCTGACGGGTGCCGCCACCGAACCCCCACGGACACGCTGGGCAGCTTGGATATCCTCCTGCTGCTGGTCTAGGTCATTCGAGACCTCCCGGGGCTTAACGATAGCACCCTCCTCCTCCTCTTCTTCCTCCTTCTCCTCCTCTTCATCCGAGGAGCCGAAGAGACTCTGATAGGAGCGTCGAGTCTCCTTCTCCTCGCGGAGTGGAGACTTAGAGGCGGTACGCTTCTTTGAGGGCTTGGCGCCTTCGGCTTTAGAGGCCTTAGCGCGCGCAAGACCCTCGGCAAGCGAGAGACGTTTGCGAGGATTCTCTTCCTCATCGCCACCGGCTTTGGGAGCGTCCTTAGCCTTGGCGGCCGGACTCTCAGAGCGCACAGAGGTCCTAGGACTGTGATCACCTTGATCACTAGCGAGCGACTGCACGCTGTCATCTTTGTGTTCACTGGGCACTGGGCTGTGCCCTCCCACAGAGTCCGCAGGAGCATCGTGAGTGCTCTCGGACTCGGCATCGTCCTCACTGCCCGAGTTGAACTCATGTTCCACGAACCGAGGGTTCGGACGATTGTCTGAAGATGAGGGCGACGGACTGCGCCGCCTGCTTGCGCGCTTGTCCACAGCCGCGTCACCCGAGGATCCGATCGCCTCGGAGGCCACCTGAGTAGCCTCCTTAAGTGCAGAGCCTTTGCCGTGAGGCTTAGTGCTCTTGGCTTGCGTCTTACCGGCAGCAGCCTTGGAGCGTGTCTTAGCACCGCTCTTTGCAGTGCCACGAGGCATGATAACGGTCGAAGTGGAGACCTAGACGAAGAGCGCACAGGTTGCTGCTCGAGGCTCTAACTGTGAAGTGAGCCTCCGCCGCGCTCGCGCGGCCAAGTCGATGGTTTTCGACTTTGAGAATGAGAGTTTGTGACGAACACCTCTTCATTCTGATTGGTCGGTAAACCGAACCTAAGTGGGGGAGGATGGAACGGGGTACGTAGCCCTAAGTGTACCCTGGTTACATGAAGTGTGACACTTCACACTTCAGGAGTATGACACGTCATACTCCGGGATATTTGGTACAAGGTACCAAGGTCGTTCAAAGCCAACCATTGGTTAAATGACATTGAATTTCTATAGGTAACTCATAGTTTGTATTAAACCCAAACGTAACCTACCTATAAATATACTCAGTTTACAATCTACCTTATTAAGGTCACTTCGCTCTCTTTAATTAAAGAGGGGACCTGTGAACTGCCGTTCACTGAGAGTTTGTATACTCTCGGAAGATAACTTCCTCTAGCGCAAGGTGCTGTGTGACCCCGTCACAGGGTGGATCGAGTGAGGATCCTATGGAGAAGGGTGGTCGACTCCATCCGAAGGTGGATCTGGTATTAACAACAAATGAGAAGGCAAGATCCACCGCTAGATGTCCTAGATCCCACTTCCCCAAGTCTGGATCCAAGGGATTGAAGATCCCACACAGAGTGACTTGGATCCATGGAATGGGGGTGGTGGATCCAACGGATCTCGAACTTTAGTGGAGCCAGCAGATGGAAAGGTGGCAAGAAACGTGCTTAAGTGGGAAATAGCATAAAATATCATCTAGTATCTAATATTTTCAAATCTCTGAGTTAATATTAAAAAAAATTATGTTAGCTTTTGAAAAACTTATTTATTATTACTATTTAAATTCGAAAATAGTACTATTACTATAAAAAATATCCTATGATATTTGGTTACCATTAGCCCCAGCTCTTTGATGCCTTGGTCTCTGAATGTACTGTACATGTATCTCCATCTACCCAAGCAAAGTACAGTATCGGTACACACAGTTTTGTGGACCTTGATCAAGACGTCTACATGTACATGTAGTCTACACTGTAGACTCTACAGTAGATTCTACTGTAGAAGTTCTAATACATGTGCATGTACAGTACATGTACATGTACTGGGTCCCGGACCGGGACTCCCGGTCCAGGAGTCCTGGCTTTTCGTGACCGTCCTGCCAGGACGGTCACGAAAGCTCATCTTTAACATACAGTACAGCTGCGGTTGGACCCCGAGGGCTCGACAATGCAGCCCCAGCATTTAAGCCCAAGACTCTTGGCAAGAGCCAATCAGCAGTTTACCGTGAGCCTTTCAGCTGTGAATTGTGTATTAATACATGTGCGTGGTGCAAATCCGTAATGACCAATCCTGATTAGATAAGGCCCTTATCATATTACATGTATGATTCATAAGGGACACATGGATACAGCACCACAGACGATCCGGAACGGGTTGCTTGCGGTGGTGCGCACTGCGCACTGCGGACCTCGCGAGTCGTACTGTACTGTACACTGTATTGTACGACTTCCCGACTCGGGAATCCCGAGCATCCCTGGTCTCCACTTGTTCTCATTTCGGAATTCTCCTCGTGTCTTGCTGTGTCTTTGTCAGCATGTGGGGGATCGCGCAACATCAAGTGACGGAGCGCCAGGCGGTGCTCACTGCTGGAGCACTCAGTGGTCTCTATCTGGGCTACAAGCTGCTGGTTGCAGTATACAAGGAGATGAAGATCACGCGCGCGCTGGACTCGCAGGGACTACACCGCCCCAAGTCGACGCTGCCGATTCTGGGCAACACACTTGACGTCATGTTTTTTCAGAAGGACCGACTGCAAGACTGGATGGCTGAGCAGAGTCAGATCAGCGAAGGCAAACCGTGGGTGCTCAGTATCATTGGCCGTCCACAGACGCTCATCATCACGTCGCCCGAAGCGTGTGAGGATGTCTTCAAGGCGCAGTTTGACAACTTTGGTCGTGGCGACGAACTCGTTGACTTGCAGCACGATATCTTCGGCGAAGGTGTCGCCGGTGTAGACGGCGAGAAGTGGCTTAAGCAGAGGCGAATCGCCAGTCACATGTTCTCGATGAAAATGTTGCGCGACGTGATGGACGAAGTGATCATGGAGAAATCCATAAAACTTCGCGATATCCTCGCTCAGTGTGCGAAGGAAGGCCGCGTCGCTCCCATGAAGTCGCTGCTGGGCAAGTTTTCCAGCGACGTGTTCACCAAAATTGGCTTCGGCGTGGATCTTCATGGTCTGGACGGTGACATCAACTCGGAAATGGACCACCCTTTCATTGAGGCTGTCGACGGCTACGCTGAGGTTTTCGGTGCACGTCTGCAGTCGCCAATGTGGTACTGGAAGCTCAAGCGATTCCTCAACATCGGCGATGAACGCATGCTTAAGCGGTGTATCAAGGTCGCTACGGATCTACTGAATGAAGTTATGCTCAAGTCTATGGCGGAAAAGACCGCGGAGGACTGGAACACTAAGACAGACCTGCTGACTCTCTTCGTGGACACTACCGGTAAGACGGACTCTTCTGATCTACGCGATGCAATGATGAACTTTTTCCTGGCTGGAAAGGAGACTACAAGCTTCAGTATGGCCTGGGTTATTGTTAACCTGAACCGTCATCCGCGCGTGCTGGCTAAGCTTCGTCAGCAGATTCGTGAGAACCTGCCAGAACTTTTGACAGGCGAGCTGCAGGTCCCTACGATGGAGGATCTGCAAAAGGTCCCGTACATTGAGGCTGTTCTCAAGGAGAGTTTGCGTCTGTACATGACGGGCGTCCATCGCACACCCATGCGGTCAACTACACTTCGTGAAGGCACGTACATACCGTTCGGCTCGTACGTAGTCATGTCGGTGTACGCCGCAGCGCGTGTGAAGAACGTGTGGGGTGAGGATGCGGCCGAGTACAACCCAGACCGCTGGATCGGCGAGGAGACTGGCAAGATGAAGTCTGTGAACCCGTTCCAATTCATCACGTTCGGTGGTGGCCCGCACCAGTGTGTCGGCATGCGGTTCGCCTTGTTGGAGATGCAGACAGTCATCGCTGTACTGTTCAGCCGATTCGACATCAAGACGGTCGAGGATCCGTTCAGGATCACGTACGACTACAGCGTGACGCTGCCCGTCAAGGGACCGCTCGAGTGCACCATCCACGAAGCGAGCGCACCCGCATTCTAAGTCAAGCTACAGATAACTACCTAGCTTGAAAAGTACCTAGTATATCCAATGAATACACGCATAAATCCTCATTTCACCATTCAAACCTAGTGCTGGTTTGGAACATGTTCAGAACATGTTCCTGTTGTTTAGTACTGTTCGGAATTGTTCTGAACTGCTCCTATTCCAACCGGCAGTGTACAAAATACATTACATAGTAAATATGCTGCTGAACCAGCGAGAAGAGGTTAGCAAAGCAAGCGTATACCTAGCTGTATTGCACCTTTGAAGTACCAAACGTCACTATACGCGTAATTAAATACAGTCACACCTCCTTATTTGAACCTCTATAACTGACCACTACACTGTCTACGGTAATTAGTCCGACCGAGACTATTTTGTGTATGGTTTCTCAGGTCATACACATTAAATAGTCTGACACAGACTATTTAAGTGCTAAGACTATTTATGAATTTCGACCGGTCACAAAAAATACACAAAACGTGAGACTCGAACCGTCAAACCTCAGCGTGGAGGGTCGTCGCTCAGACGACTGCTCCAACTAAGACTACACTTTCGTTCTTTCCTAGTTTTTATCTATGTTAGCAAATGACCACCTTCCGGCGATGAGCGATGCTGCTGACAGCCTGTGTGCTGCGCGATTGTCTGGATGAACGGGGTGAGCGTGATCGCGTGTGCTCGAGCTCGAGCTCGCCTTCGAAGTCGTCGGCCTGAGATGTGCCGTCGCTGGCTCGATCGGTATTGTCGCAGTCTGGACACACCACCGACTGCCCAAAGCCTTCGGCTCCAGTGGGTCGTCCACAAAATGGATGCATGTGGCGCAAACACTTGGGACAGCGATGAACAGGACCAACGGGTTCTCCACAACCTCCACATTGCGCAGTAGCTGTAGCAACTTCCATGCCGACTTGCCGATAAAACAGAGAATGAGGACTTAAAACGTAACTGGAGGGAGCGCTACGGCGCTCTACCATCCAGTCCTTCCCCCTACACCGAAGCGGAGGTAACATCAGACACCTGTTGATATAGCTTCTAATGATTCTGGGTTGTATATGTACTTGCACTTGGTCGGCACTTCGAGAACCACAAACATCAAAACCAATTGTTGTGAGAAAAAAAGTAATGGGTGACTCGAACCCAGCCGTACTGAGTACCAATGTGCACTCTTACCCACACGGCTCAGGTCAGAATATTTATAAACCTGTGTTGGTCAGACTATTTATGAATCTCGATATTTTGGCTAAACAATAAATAGTCTGACCTAGACTACTTTTGAACTGAGACTATTTTAGGCCAATCGGGGCCACCTTCGCTGCCCTGGGGGAGTGTGTTGTCAGTCTGTAACGTCCGTAACGGGCTAGGGTTAATAATCCTCACGCTAAAACGCGCGTTCTACTGGCTGCCGAGCGCAGCGAAGGCGGCGTCGATTCGCTAAAATTGCAATATGTGGTGTACACACTGTATGTGGTCAACACATCGTACTTAAAATGCACCGCTCAAATTTCATTTTGCCCCCATTTTTAACGCTGGAGCGCCACCTCACGCAAAGGGGCTGCGTGTGTGCGGGTTAATTTGCATTGGTGGGCTTCGCCGACGTGCACACCGGTACTATTATATCGTCGTAGGCGCTGTTGATTTTTTTTAGACCCTGGCGACACCACTGGATCGCATTTTAGCAAAGTAGTAATTCAACACTTCGAAATACTTAGTTTAATACTTAAAAAATAATATTACTAATTTAATAAAAACGTTTCTAATAAAACATTCTCCAATGGAACGTTTACCTGA